TCCTCTCAGGCTGTATTTCAAGAGAAAATCAAGGCTCTTCGGAAAGAAGTTTCAGAATTTTGTCATTCCACAAGTTCATCTGGTACTAAGTTTTCTGCCCATAAATGTTCCAAGTCATAAGACAACAAGTTCTGCTGGTATCAACGAAACCTCAACGACAATGCCTAAAAAAAAAAAGTGTTTTGCTGTATTTTTATAATGGAAACTTGATGAAGAAACAAGTAGAGGTAACCGACTTTTCCCACCCTCACACATTGCATTACCTTTTCATTACAGACCAATCTACAGGTATGTGTTTTCTAACAGATTCAGAAAGTAATGCCAGTTTAATTGTCACTAATAAATCTAAACTGAAGGCAAAGAGTACTCCAAACTTTTCATGCTACCAATGGAACATCCATTAATGTTTATTGTCATAAAACAATTAGTGATGATTTTGGTTTAAGGTGCAATTTTACTTTCTCTTTTTATATTTCTAATGTTACATCATCAATCATAGGTGCAGATTTTTTATATTTCTTACTGTCAAATTAAATACCTGTAATATTTTTTCTGTAAAATCAGCTTGTGTAAATAACATAGTCGGTAAATTATTGTTACAATATCCTGATATTACTAAATTACACGATCCTGACTAACCTGTGAAATACAATACTGTGCCTTATGTAAATACTAAAGGTCTTTTAGTTGCTGCTAAACCTAGCCAATTAGCTTCTTACCGCCTCAAAATTGCTAAAGCTGAATTTCAGTGCATGTTGCAACTCGCTCATATGAGATCTTCAAAAGCCCGTTTGTATATGGTACCCAAGAAGGGTCAGTTGAATAGAGATCTATTAGTGATTATCACTCTCTTATGTGCAGATTGCCAGCAAAAAGTATTCTATTCTGAGCATAGCTGATTTTACCTCAGAACATATAGTAAAAGTGGTCACTCATCAAAGCGTATCAACAAATTCCCATGCATCCTGATGATGTACATAAAACAGCTGTATGTGCTACTTTTGGTTTGTTTGAAAGTGAGAGAACGCAGTTTGTCTTTGTAATACTTTCTCAGACTTTCAACGGTTTATCAATGAAGTCATTAGGGACTTGCCATTTGTTTACACATTTGTTGACAATTCACTTGTGACTTCTAACAATGAACATGAGTACTTAGATCATTTAAACCTGCTATTTTCTAAATTCCAGGAATATGGTTTGTGTAAAAATGTCAAGAAATGCCAGTCTGGTCAATCTACCTTAAGATTTAAGTTATCAGGTGAAGGATTTAAACCCCTCTCTGATCATGTAAAAAATATTCTAGATTTTCCTCAGCTGCAAACCATCACTCAATAACGTTGATAGTTGGGTTTATTTATTTTTATAGATGCTGTATTTCTATAGCTGCTCACATTTTAGCACCCTTAGCCAAATTCCTTGAAGGTTTTTCCTTACTATTAAAAACAGACAACCTTCTTCCAAAGCTTCCACCAAATGATTACAAAGGGATGATGAAGCAACACTCTCCTTCAAAGCAACATAGGAAGCTATTGATACAGCAACCTTGTTATGGCATTCCATGCCCAGTGCACTTACAGCTTTCTATTTAGCTAAACTAAGTAGATCTCAGAAAAATTGAATATGACTATGAACTCTTCAGTAAAAAAAATTTAGGCATATGCTTGATGATAGGAATTTTGTCACCTATAAAGATCAAACACTCCTTAAATTTGGATTCCAGCAACATGCTGACAAATGCAGTCCTCACTAATTATGCCATTTGGATTTTGTCTCCCAGTTTATGACTGATGCTGAATATACTAAAGGCTCGGATAACACTGTCACCAATGCACTATCCGAATTGAGAGAGATGACATTTCATTTCCTGTGCTTGATTTTCAAAAATTTACTGCTGCTCAATCAAATGATGAAGAGCTTCAACAATTTTTAACACCTAATACCTTTGCTTTAAAATAAGAGGAACATTATTTCCCGCTCGAGGATAATCATCTGTATTGTGAGACGCTCTAAAAATATCCCTATGAAATCTTTTGTGCGCAGCTGTGATAGATGCCAATGAGATAAAATCACCAAACATACAAATCTCCCAATTGCTGAACATGATGCTCATTTTGCCTACTTACACACAGATTTTATCAGCCCTCTCTCTTCATCTGATGAGAAGCAGCTTTGTGTGACTATTATAGACAGGTTTGCAAGATGGCCAGAAGTTATTCTAGCAACTGACATGTCTGCAGAAACAGTCACTCATGCCTTGGTACATGGCTGAATATTCAGATTTGGATGTCCAGTCACACTTATATCTGATCAGGGTAACAATTTTGAATCTAATCTTTTTAGAGAACTTACCTGCACATTCGAGTGCAAAAGGATTCGAACCTCTGCATATAAGCCCCAGTCAAATGGTATTATCGAATGTTTTCATCAACATATCAAAGCAGCCTTTAAAGCACATAATACAGCATTATGAACAGAAACTCTCCCACTTGTTCTCTTAGCCATACGCTCAGCCATTAAGAAGGATGTCAAAGCAACTTTTGCTCAACTTGCTTGTGGCATAACATTAAGATTACTTTTCGAATTGGTAACTGAAGATAGCATACACCAGACCTTAAATTCCGCATATTTCGACAGCTTACTTAAAACAATTAAATCTTCAAATCCTATTTCTACTGCCTTGCATGGTAGTCCTAAATCTTTCATCACTCCTACATTAAAAACTCATTCTTATATATGTTTTAAGATCAGACAAACTTAATCCTCCACTGATACCACCTTTTACTGGACCTCATTTATTTGTTGATGGATATGATAAGAATATTATTGACGAAAACAGAAAAGGATACTACAATTTCAATTTATCGCAGAAAACCTGCTTACTGCCTGCCACATGTCATTACTCATTTCCCATCTTTATTTTTTATGGTTTCAGTTTCCTTTCTGCAAATCAAACATCTACCACTAAGAGTGGGCATAAGGTCAAATTTCCCAAGAATTTGGTCACAGACTACAAACTTGTATTGTATTTAACGTTTTGTATTATGCATATGTTGTAATGACCATGTACATATATCTTTATTACACTGCACTTCATTTTCTGTATTTCACTAATTTTGAATCATATCACCATTTTCTGACACACTCTGTAAATATTTATTATCATCTGTAATTGTGATTTCATCACTGGAGGCATACTCTGTAGCATTTCATTCATGCAAGCAAGACATGAGCCACATCAGCCAATCAGAAAGAAACACACATCACATGTCTGTTTTTATGTCACCAACTTCTCCCCTCAGAGTCTTTCTGGCAGTTCCACTGGGGGAGAAAGCCTGCTACAGTGCTCCTGGCACAAATTACTTTTCTGTGTGTAAAATAAATTACATTTTTATACTTAATGGGAGTCAGATCACCTAAAGCAAAGATCTCACGATGCTTGACAAAAATGATATAACTTCTACCAAATGATTAAATTAAAGATTCGACAGTCATCTATTTGTGAAACTTCTTCAGATTTCTCAATAAAAAACTGAATTACATACCTGAATGCATTCTAGTTACAAAATATATGTGCATACCAGAAACTGAATAAAACAATGCATATATTCAATATACTAAAGAATAAAAAACATTTTAATTACTTTCTATGTGTGCTCCAAAACTAACTGTGTAATTTACATAAATTTCATTCTTTGAATTAACTTTGTAGAACTTAAACTATCTTTCTTTCTTTTAACTTATACAATTTTGAAACCTTTAACATGAAAAAAGAAAGGGATTCCATATAAGATATGTTCACATATATGGTGCTTGATATGTCAATGGTATTTACATAAAAAATAATAAAATGATCTAAACATAACACTCTGAAGCATAACAAAGTAAGCTCTTTTAATATAAAATTTAATAAATTACCTTAAAAATAAATATAAAATACATAAATTACCTTAGAGCCTCACTCCCTTTTTTTTTTCGGTTTTATTATCTGAGTTCACAAAAAAGGAACACTATTTCTGCATAAACATTTTAAGGAGGAAAGCATTATCTTTTTATTCAGACCAAATCAATTGTAATAATATAAAGTGACGATAGAAAAATTAAACATAACAAAAGCTTAACAAAGAAAAGTATTGAACAGAAAAATTATTTTATAGCTAAAAAACAATAAAAAATTAATATTTAAATACATTCTGCAAAAGAAGAAGAGGAAGAAGAATGACCTTGTTCCTCTACATTAGCTACAGGTAACTCACGTGATCTCTGAGGTCATCTATATTGTTTGTTTACATTAGCTATGCATGAAATCACGTGATCTTTGAGGTCATTGGAATGTATCACATTATAAAAATTTAGCATTTTTATTATCATACTGTATTTACCTTTAAAAAAGTAAGAAAATAAACTAAAAACGAAACTCAGTGGCATAACAGCCCTAATGGGCAAAGGCCTGCAGTGCCTGAAATCTGCTTTCTTGACTGTGGGCCTCGGTGTGCGTAAGCATATGCCCTGAACAAGAGGTCAGCTAGTCGCAGGACCCCCCGTTTTTAGTCCCCAAGCGAACTTGGTACTCATTTTATCGACCCAAGTGATGGAAATCTAGGGATGAAAGGCTGAGTCGACCTTGGCCAGCCCGGGAATCAAACCTCGGACCTGTGGTGCCACTGCGCCTCAAAAAAGTAAGAAACAAATCCTAAATTTTGATTTTAAAAATAAATATATTAAGTAGGGAAAAAAATAATTAAAAAAATTTAATATAAAAATAAATCATTGTAATTTTGAAATGAATGTCAAACATTTTTCACACTTTGAAATAGAAACCACATGCTAATAATAGTTATTCATAACAAGCTTTAAAGCATTATTTATGCATAAAATTATACAATCTGTAAGTATATATAACCAGAAAACTGTTTTATTTATTTGTAGATAAGCCACAAAAATAACTTAGCAATATAATAGCTGGCAACAAAATCATGCAAAATATTTTTTTAAAGATACCTCCTAACACTAAGTCTTCACTGCTTGTTAAGACCTATATTTTGAAAACACATTCAAGCCATTACTACAAACTGAATCTACAAAATAAATAGAAATCTACACAGAAATTTTAAGACATAAAAGCACATATTTAACATGAATTTTCAAGCAATGTATATTTTATACATATAAAAAGCTTTAATATAACTGTATTTTCCTTTTCCTGCCAACTTTACAACATTTATAATATAAAATAATAATACGGGAAAAAACTGCACACATATCAGATATAACAATAAACTCAGGAAAGATGGAATAAAACAACTATCCATCAAAATGGTACCATGTTAATTAAAATTAACTTTTAAGTTTCTGAAACTTAAGCATAACAGCTACTTACCTGAATACACTAAATTAAAAAATAATTTTGAAACAGTATGTTTAATTTTCATAATATTAACTTCAAATATTTTTAAAAATGTACCTCCTTCAAATGCATCAAAAAATTCATCACAGTCAGTATCTTGATAATGAGGTGAATTTGGAGGCGATACATAAGGGCTCACAAAAGATTTCTCCAATTCATGGTGCTCCTGGGCTAAAGCATGCAAAGCATCCTGTAGAACTCGGCATCTTTCCTGTTGCTGTTTCAATTGCAACATACGGACCTAAAATTTTTCATTTCTATTTGTTGACAATATAATTCTCTTTTTATCAATGCAAAAAAAAAAAAAAAAAAAAAACAAAGTATAAAAAATTTAATACCTTAATTCTCAATATAATCTTCAGATAATCTCTAATATACTTAGCATTAATATATATTTATAAACCATTATCTTGTAGAGTCATTAGGTTATTTTGATGCAGGAGACATGAAAAAATAAACAATGCCTTTGTCGAGACTCGAACCTGGACCTCTCGAATAGACGCTGAGTGTGCTACCATTATACCATGACGGCATGAAGAATGAATGGAGAAAATACTTTATATACTCTCCCTTTTAAAGGGTGACTGGGGATTAGAGGAGCCAATCGCCAAATCCTGGTGGTGAAAAATCATCATCCACCACTTTTTAGTTTGGGTACTACTGTACAGTCATTAGAATTTTTGAGGCAAGAAACATGAAAAATTAGCAATGCCCTCACCAGGGTTCGAACCTGGACCTCTCGAATATGCACTGAGTGTGCTACCATTATACTACAAAGATATGCTGGAAAGAGGGAGAAAATACCTTACAAACTTAAACTGATTTCAGAAGTGTGTTTGAATGCCGATGGCAAGAGCGATGAAGGAGCAACTGAGTGTGCTAGCATTAGACCACGAAGGCATGAAGAAAGAATGGAGAAAATACTTTATATACTCTTCCTTTTAAAGGGTGACTGGGGATTTTGGAAAGCCAATTGCCAAATCGTGGTGGTGAAGAATCATCATCCACCACCTTTTAGTTCAGGTACCACTGTACAGTCATTTGAATTTTTGAGGCAGGAAACATGAAAAATTAGCAATGCCCTCACCGGGACTAGAACCTGGACCTCTCGAATATGCACTGAGTGTACTACCACTGTACCACAAAGCCATGCTGGAAGGAGGGAAACTTACAAACCTTACAAACTTAAACTGATTTCAGAAGTGGGCTTTGAATGTCGATGATAAGAGCGATGGAGGAGCAACTAAGACAACTCATAACTGCCTTTGTTGCATTCCAAGAAAAGATGGAAGGGGCAGTCAACTACATTAAAGAAGAGGTGAAAGCTATTCAGGAATCTGTTAAAGAAGAGATGGATAACTTCAAGAAAAGATTGAAGCAGATCAAGAGGAAATAAAAGGATAAATTATCTGTGTAATAAAAACAAATTTGAGGCTATGGAAGGCAAAAAAGACATGGTCAAAAATAGGGTTGGAGAAACTGAAGAAAGAGTTTCTTCTGTCAAAGAACAAATCGAAAAGAGAGTTTCTATCATTGCCAAAGAAGTTGATAACTTAAAGAAGTGTATAGTGACAACAGGAAGCAATTCTGATGGTTTTAAATTTCTACCCATACTTTCTCTTCCATCTCTAAAGCTATTCCCATATGATAGTAAGACCTCTTCGCAAGCATATAAAATACAATTTTCTACAGTGGCAGAAACAAATGGATGGGATTCCCAAGCCAAGGCCTGTCATCCAGCCATTTCTCTGAAAGCAGACACAGCAGATATCCTTCAGACTCTTCCCAAAAACCAAAGGCTAGACTTCGAAGCTCTATCTGGTACGTTGGAGCTGTGCTTTGGGGAGAAATGTTTAAAAGAGTACAGTATGCTTCAATTAAAATCCCATAAGCAGAAGCCCACAGAAACACTCCAGGAGCTCACCACAGATGTTGAAAGGCTGTCTCATTTCGCTTTTTTGCAGTGCCCTACAAAACAAAGGCGATACTGTCCCTACAGTACTACACTGACAGCCTCCGGGATCCTGAAATACGGAAAGCTCTAATGATGGATATCAAGGACTTAAAAAGTGCTTTAGGTTACACAATGAAGTTCGAGACCACCCAGCAAGTAACTTGTAAAGATCGCCACCCAATCAGAGCTGCCCAAGTCCAAGAGACAAGGGATCAAGTGACTGCCCGTCTAGACGATTTGACCATGCAAATGCAAGTCAATGCCTTGATATGGAACAGAGGTGACAAGAAACAAACCCTAAAGCGCTGGAACTGCAGTGCCAAAGGCCATGTATGAGGGAACTGAAGAACACTCCAGTGCACAGAAAATAAGATCATTCCCACCAAGAAACAGGGCAACTAATTGATGGCCATCTTGCAGAGTGGAGATTGCCAAAGGAGTTTCTTGCAATATGAGCAATCGATACAGGAGCTGCTGTTACCATCATCCAAAAAGATCTGGCTCAACAATTGGAAGGCAAATTAATCTCAACGCCGCCCTGCATTACACTCCAGACTGTGTCTGGCAAGCAGACCAACATCGACATGAAATTAAGTGCTAACATCATGCTTGGAAGTGCCGCCTACCATCACAAGGTATACGTGGCAGATACTTGCATTCTTGGATTGGACTTTCTAAAGAAATAAAATTTTTCCTTGGACTTTGAAACCAACGAATTGCATTCTGCCTCTAAAGACATAGCTTTATTTAGAATTAATGATGAATGAGTTAAATCTGTCTATGAAATCATAGCCCAAGATGGTATCACAATACCAGCAAGAAAAAAATTTCTACTTCTTGGATCAATAGCCAAAAATAGAAGTTTACGGTACAGTGCAAATGAATATTCCAAGGACTGTACAAAACCGCAAGGAGTACATACTAGTAGCCTCAGCTCTCGTCGACCTATTAGAGGACAGTTATTCTGGTGAGAGTTGCCAATATAACTATCAAGGAGAGCGTTATTAGGAAAGGTGAAGTGGTTGCAACATGTACTTCAGTGACCAGCGGTAAACAAAACAGTACCCTCCAAAATCTATGCCTTCAGAGAGCATTACAACAGAGCTGTTGCAGACTGTACAATTAAGCGATGAAGAAAGGAGTGCTGCCGAACATGTCATTCAAGAATTGCAAGGTGTTTTTTCAGAAAGAAAGATCCCCGAACTAGATTTCGTGTTGACTATCACCGCTAGAATGAGATTGCGAAGAAATACAGCTACCCTCACCCTAGAATTGACAGCATTTTGGGGACTCTTTCTGGAAGAAAGTGGTTTTCAACACTTAATTTAAAGCGTGGATACTGGCAGGTAGAGGTACATCCTGATGACAAAGAAAAGACTGCTTTTACCACTAGACAACGACTTTGGCAGTTCAAAAGTGATGCCTTTTGGACCATGAAATGTGCCAGCAACATTCGAACACCTCATGGAGACCATGTTGAGAGGTCTATCCTATGAAGCCTGTCTGATATATCTGGATGACACCATCATCATCGGGAAGAGTTTTGAAGAACATTTAGAAAACCTTAGAAACTCCAGAAACTGAAAGGAGGAAATCTAAAGTTAAGTCCTGCCAAATGTTCATCTCTACCAAAAGTGTCTGTACAGTCCAGAAAAAGTGTCAGCAGTTAAAGACTGGAGACACCCCGAAAATAAGCATCAGCTGAGAAGTTTCCTGTGGCTTTGCAGCTACTATAGGAGATATGTGAAGGAATTTTCTTCCACTGCAAGACCCCTTCAGAAACTGACAGAGAGCAAGAAAAGTTCCTGTGGACAAAAGAATGTGAGGATGCATTTAACAACCTGAAGGTAGCTTTAACATCTGCTCCAATCCTGATGCATCGTCAGCTAGACAAAGCATTCATTTATTCTCGACACAGGTATGAGCAATGAGAGTGTCAATGCTGTTTTGTACTAAAATATAAATGGCCAAGAACATGACGTGGCTGACTGGAGCAAGTGCCTATCTAAACCGCAGAGGAATTACTGTGTCACCAGGAAAGTGTTGCTCGCCATAGTTAAAGCTGTAGGACATTTCCATCATTATCTCTATGGCAGAAAATTCCTGCTATACATGGATCAGGCACCACTGAACTGGCTTTAAAATTTCAAAAATTCTGAAAGCCAACTAGCCAGGTCGATACGGAGACTCCAGAAATATGACACCACTATCTGTCATCAGAAGGGATCATCACATGGAAATGTTGATGCCCGGTCTAAAAGACCCCTGCCCAGAAAGCTGCCAATATTGTTCCAGGGTGGAAGCAAAATACAAGGTGCTCAATCCGGTTGCATGACAAATTAAAACTTCAACATCGGCTGATTGAGACCCATGGAATGATGACAAAGTCAGGAAAGACCAGCTGGAAGACGGTGACATTAAACCCATAATTGACTTAACGTGGGATTTAAAAACCGAAAACCTGCCTGGCAGGACATTTCTATCTACAGTCCTATGATAAAACAACACTGGGCTCTCTGGGACTCATTCCAAGTTTGAAACAGTGTTTTGTAACAGAAATTCGAATCAGAACATGGAAAGGCTTTTCGATGGCAGCTGATACTTTCAAGATTCTGAACGACCTTAACGCTGCCAGTCACATGATGTTGTATTCACAGTTAATGTTGTGTCATAGAAATAGATCGTACCTATATGCTGACTTACTTATTATAAGAAATATGATTTAAAAGAGGTAATAAAAGATTATTATATGTACCACATTGATTGCTAAGTCTCTATACATAGAATTTTATTACTACATGCCAACATGTGATCGGCACTAGAGGTAATATTACTTTTGCAATGTCGCATTACACACTGGCACATGGCATTTAAAAGTGAATCCAAATAAGTAACAATGTGCATTAATTTGGTATAAAACTATATTAAAAACAAATATATACATTACAAATGAATTTATTACAAGACAGTTGGTATATTATTGCAAACTATATATTTCAGAATGCTATTCATGTATGATCTTTACGTGAAATGAAACTTTGTTTCCATTCCAAAACACATACATTTACAACTAGTTTCCAACCTTCACTTCATGTCAATACCAGCACATATATCCAAAACGCAATGCCGTTTGAACTTGAAAATAAACAATGAGACGTTTCTTTTCCTGCAGCAGTGCGTGACTGGCACCTGAAGCATAACCCCACACCATGTGCAACAGCGTGATTGGCTCTTCAGCAATAGTCCCAGTCATGCATCAGTGTGTGATCGGTGTTGCGATCCGTGACGTTTCCAAATTGAATTCAGTTTTTCGCTTGCACGCACGTAATGAAGTGAACTGAAATGAAAAGGTTATGTAAGTTTTCTTTGCATGCTTCAGTAGTTGTGATCTTATATATAGTCTTGTTGTTGGCTTAAAAAAATGTCCAGTTTTGATATTTGTTATAGCACTTCTGCAAAACTTGTCTGCAGATCAAATATAATAGAAAAAGCTGATCCTGAACTCTTGATGTTTTACATTGTATAAACAGTTTTCAAACTCGTATTTTCTTATAATGTAAGATATAAGAAATATTATAGCTGCTTTAAAAATAATTGGCAACCTCAAAATTAACATTCTAGATTTGGTACCCTCCCTATAAATTCATCTGTTCTCTCAAATTCAAGATCTTTCTATGTCATGTAATGGTATGTGAAAAGGGCAACTAATATTAAGAAATCATAGTTTGTTTCCAGAATCGCATTTATATTGGCATAGATACCTCTGGCCAGGTAATAAGGTCATTATACTGCTAGCTTCTACATTGCTAATAGCTTCCTGCTTCGCTTCTTTAAAAATGCCTGCATCATTTCTTGTTAAAAACCAATGTACATAGAAATTTATCATATTTCATTATGATTGAATCATAGAGATATATTGGATTTCATTATGATTGGATAAATATCTACTGAGATGATTTTATGTGCGTGGAAATAAAGATGATAATTTGGCTGAACTTAGTTTGGTATCAACTTCTTCCTCCACTCAGTCATCACAACTTTGCTTTGAAATTATGACAGCTTTTAAATGGCCTATACTTAGCATTTTTGATGTAATATTTCTTCTGTTAAAAAAATAGGCTATTTTTCAATAATAAAAACTGTACAAGCCTACTTAAGTTAATTATAAAATCTGCTGTTCCACCTTTTACTTCACATGTTAATTTCTACTTTCACACTAATCCTTTGTAGCATAGTTTATAAACACAAACTTGATGTCAAAAATGAATATTAATGAAAATTCTACTATTGATAGCCGTTGGTTTCTAGATAATTTCTTCATTTCTCTTCAACTACAAATATCCCCAAACCCTCAACTCACAATTTAAATTTTCACATTTATAGGGCTTCCACATTCATGAAACTTATTAATTTTGGTACAATTACAATTATCATTCTTCCAATTCAAGTGTGTTTTCACATTCTGTCATGAATTTCATTCTTTCTTCTCTTGACATACTGCATTAACACATGTTTTCATCATCATATATTTAATTTATGTACTAGCACAGAATTTTTTCCTCCTGATAAAGAAGGGCTTATGATCTCTCTTAAGATCCTGACTTGGAAGTGAAATAAAAGCTAAAATAAATTTGAAATTAGTTATTAAATACTCACATTTAATATATACACACACACATACTACAGTAAACCCTTGATGAAGATGGAGGTTACATCTTTAACACACTGTGTGCACAACAAAATTACATTTTGCAATATTAACTTTCTATGAAAAAAATGAAAAAAAAAATAATTCAAACGATTTCTATTGCTGTTAAATAAAACCAATGTATATAGAAATTTATCATATTTCATTATGATTGAATCATAGAGATATATTGGATTTCATTATGATTGAATACAATACAGTTACTTTTTTTAAACAATTGGTGATTTTAATTTGGAGCAATGTCTGATGCAACTCATTAAACATTTCATGCTAAGGAGTGCAAAGTTTTTCAGTACCTTCCATAAAGTGACCTCTTCTTTTTCCATTACAAATTCAGACGGTTTCTTTGCCTTTTTTACCAATTTATTTAATTTCTTGTATGTTAAAGGTCCTCTATTTTTTCACTATCGCTACTTTCATCATCGGCTGGTGTTATAATTACAATACATTACAATTTTTCATTTGTCTTCCATGATCGTCCATACAGTTTTTCATTTGTCTTCCATGATCATCATTCTTTAATTTCTTCTTTTTCCATATCAGAAAATTCTTTGCTGCCTATTGCTTTTGCGATTTATATGATTTCTTTGGCTTCATTTTCAATTGATGGAAAACTTTTAAAATTATTTACAGCTTCTGGCCAGCACTGAATGCCAGCAAGCATTCATTGTTGAAGTCACTTGTTCCCATGCTAGTTAAATCATTTCTATGCAGTATAAAATCACTATATTTTAATGCAATGTTGTGAGAGTGTTAGTACCATACTCTGGAGCACTATCGAGAATTAGAACTTTAAAGCTCATGTTTTACTGTGCCGAGTAATGTTTAACTTCTTTAATAAATAAATTTCCAAAGGAGTAATTAAAGAGGACTACCATAAGATGGTCAAAGCTCTGCAGCATACCATGTTTAATTGAAATTCTATCATTAGCCAAATTAAATGGAAACAATTAAAATTAAGATAGCACGTATACACAGAATCACTTTCTGCAAATCTGCCCTCAACAAGGGTTTACTACACATAAATATATTTAGAGTAACAAAATCCTAAAACAAAAATTGTAAAATGGAAGAAGTAAACAGAATCAAAATGCTTTTAGCATCTAATGGAAGAAGTAAACAGAATCAAAATGCTTTTAGCATCTAATGGAAGAAGTAAACAGAATCAAAATGCTTTTAGCATCTACCTTTTTAAGTTGTTAAATATTCTTGCGTGCGTACGGATTCGTTACGAAATGAATGCACAAGTCTGATGAAAAATGAACAAAAGATTTATTATTATAACAACAAATATGATTAAATGTCCTCAAATAATCGTGCAGTATCACAATATATCACAGTAATTATCCTTTAACTACTCAAACGTTCAAAAGAACTTAATTCAAAACAGCTAAAGAAAGCTAATCCGCGAATTCGCTACAATCAATAAGAGCAGTTTTCTAAACAGCAACAAACTAAGTAACTATCATGAACTGAGATGTTTTCCTCCTTTTATAAGATTTAAAAATCACGCGCTAGAATTTTCTAGTACTTTCTCGAAATCAAAAAGAGATATTTATTTATTTAATGCACGCGCTCTTGTATTTTCAATTTTCCGGCTTAGCTTTCTTTTAATATTCGTCACGCGCTGCACTGAGCGAGAAATAAAACCATTTAATTTATAATTGAACTAACATTAGCTTTTTAAATACCAAATTTGTAACAATATTTTTGCAAACCAGAAACAGGAGTACAGTAATACCCCAAAGTTATGTGATATAAAAGGACTAGCGAAAACTGCATAAGTTAGAAGGTCTAATTTTGCATAAAAAGCATATGAATTTTAAATGCATAGCAAAGGGCTGAAAAAAAAAATTCTTTAGAAGAAAAGTATGCAATAGAAATAAAGTTTCTATACATATCAAAACAAGACGGTATTAAATATGTTACATAAAACAATTACTTTGATGCCAGTTTCATAAAATTTACTTATAATACAATAATTACAATGCATTACAATAATTTACATATTAAAATAACATAATATAATGCTACTTAGTCATTTTATAAACTTTTTTAAATATCTGAGATGGAAATAACAGCTGAATTAAAACAAACAAAAATTAAATAAAAAAAAAAAAAAATTACTCACTTCTTCCTGCTGAGCAAACACTGTGAGGCAATGAGACAGGCTGGACGATACTTTACGAGCAGAATCAACTAAATTATCCAAATGATTATTCAGACTTTTTGATGGAGATTCACTTATATAAAATTCTGATTTAATACCATTACTAACACTGTAGCATTCTGCAGTTTGTTTCAGAGACTGTACATGGTTTTCAAATATTTGCAAATGAGCTTGAGCAGTCTAAAGAATAAAAAACATATAAACCATAATTAATATTTTAAAATCTCAGTTATTTTACAAAAAGAATGAACTAAGGCAAATATTGTAAATTTTAGCTTCGACATTAAGAAGTGTGTTTTATTAATGAATGTAAACTCAAATAAGAAATATAAAATTCTCAAAATTAACAGACGCACACATCTTTGTGTTTATTTTTATAATTTTAATATTATAGTCAACTAGATAAAAATTCCTTCAAATATGATAGCTAAATTAAAAAAGTTTGAAAATATTGATTTTCTTTTACCTGGAGTTTATCTTGCATTGTGCCAACAGGCATGATATCTTCATCTTCAGGGTCAGAGTCTGATAAACCTTGTTTCAGATAATAACTGCTGAATTCAATATGCTCTGTTATTGCATTTACCCATTTCTATAAAATGAACAATCACAATTAGTAATTAATTAAGCAATCTGGTACTATAACATTTTCAGATATTTAAAAAAAAGGGAAAAAAGAAAATGGTGTTATGTATTAATTGTTCTTATTTTTCAAGCTTTAAACTTTTTTGCTTACTTAAGCTCAGTAATTTCAGTTTTGATCAGTAATTGAAGTTATTTAATCTTTGCTTTAGTTGTTTAAAGTGTGTTGTAAGTTTAAATTGTAACTTTTGTAAACTTTAAATTTATGTTTGGTTGCTTTAAAAGTTTTCTTAAGTAAATTTGTTTAATTTTTAATTTGAGTTTAGGGACTTGATGTTTTATTTGGTTTTGTAAAGTTTTGTTTCAATCCTCATTGTTTCATAACTTCTAACTTATTTTTAAATTATTTAAACTTTTTAAAATTATTTAAAAGTTTTTAATTTAGAGTTTGGTTAACATCTATCCCTCTTTCTGCTAACGTCTTAGCAATAATTTCTGGTTGTAAGATGTTGAAGAAATATATTTTTTTAGTAATATTAATTAAGGTTTTAATCAGCTTTTGTATTAGCTGAATTTTATTATTATTTTTTTTTATGTAAAGTTAATTATGTTAGTCAATTTGTATAAGTGTGGTAAATTTGGATAGCTCAAAATAGGTCTCTTGGACTTGATTCTGTGCTAATGAGATTTTAATTTCATGTATTTCTTGAGTATTATCTCAATTTAAAAACAGAAATTATGAATTTAACTAACGGAAATTTATATGCTTTCGTACAGAAAATTTGTGTCTTTCCGGTGGAATTATAGGTTTTCACTCAGCTTAATTGGTCGAGAAGTTATTCGTAATTAAACGTATATTTTTAGCAGAAATGGCGCAGATTTCCTGACTTCGAAATGTTCACTTAGAAGAGCAGTTTTTTAAGCTTCCACAGCTGGGTTTTGACAGGTGATGAATGTTTACATCCACCCATTTCCGGAGGGGTGAGCCTTTCCAAGAAAAGGGTTAGTTGCCTTGGCATGTTTTTTGGCGAGAAAATTCATAAGGTTGAATTATTCTTGGAAAAATTTAGAAATTTTTATATGGTTTTGTTCTTGGCGTGGTTGCAGATTTTTCTCATGTCTTTTGGGAAGTTTTGGGGAAAGTGGAAGTTTTCCGGTTTAAAAACTCTTGTGCCTGTTAAAAGCAGAGATTTTCCTGCAGATTTAACCGACAAAAATTTTTCGAGTCGGATGAGTGCAGAAGACATGTTGCTGCGAATCTATTTTCGCTCTCACCGGTTCCAGTGTTATTAAACTCCAGTTTTGAATTATTCTTGGAAAAATTTAGAAATTTTTATATGGTTTCGTTCTTGGTATGGTTGCAGATTTTCTCATCTCTTTTGGGAAGATTTTGGGAATGTGAAAGTTTTCCGGTTTAAAAACTCTTGCGCCGGTTAGAGGCAGAGATTTTCCCCGCAGATTTACCTGACAAAAATTTCTGAGATGGAGGAGTGCAGAAGACTGTTGCTGTGAATCTATTTTCACTCTCACCGATTCCAGTGTTATTAAACTCCAGCTCAGGGAGTTCACCACCGAGAAGTTTTTTTTCCGACCTCTTCAGATTGCCTATAGAAAACTCTCTGCACAAAGACCAGTGAAGTTCGCCGACGGGTCACCCCACGGAGTAGGCCTAGTACGGATGAACGGAGCCCAAAATATTTTGATGTTTCCCTCTAGTGCAACAGCCGCGCTACAAATTGCTGGCTTAGATGGTCAACTTGGTCAGCAAGACACCCGCCATCGAATACAGATGATTTGAGCGCCCTGTTTCGGAAAAGACGGTACCAGAAGATGTCTACAGACCGGGAGGTAACATTACTTAAATTTTCCTTTAGAGATGAGGACATTTAGCAACCACCTCCGACCCCTATTTTTCGAATCAACCACCAATAATTTTATTCTTTTACAGTGAATTAATATTAAGTGTTGTTTGATTGAATTGATCATTATTGTTAATTTCAAGTTTAAATTGATTTCTAACTTCTAGTCCTCCGGAGGAATATCCTTGTCTAATTGCAAATGAATTCTATATTAAATAAATCAACTTACCTACTATTTTGTTGTGATAATTAAAATAGTTACTACATACACTTTCTTAACCAGGGTTGTAGCACATTATGATAACACAATGCAATTGGTTTAACATTTTCTAGGTCATTTTGATATTGTTGTAGGCAGCGCTTAATTTCTAAAATTAGAAGTGCCGGAGCCCTATGGAAGACCGTCAGCAAATAGGAACAAGAGTCAATAAATAAATAAAACGACTATTAAACTCATTAATAATTTTAAAATTAAATAGTCAATTATTATCAAATTAATTAACAGCTATTTAATTAATGTTTATTAATTGTTATTTAATCAACATAATTAATTATAATTTAATTGATAGTTATTAGATAATTAATTTAATTTATAATTATTAGGTAATTAATTAATTATTATTTATTGAAACATTTAAATAATTAAAGATTAAAGTATTCAAATATTTAAAATTAACTTAAATGTAAAGAGATAAATTAAAATTTAATAAGCGATTTTTAATTTAATTTTATTGCTAAAAATAAAATTTCTACTGAAATTGTTATTCAATTACATAAAAGAAGTGCCACAGCCTTCTTATTTAAGGTTTTGGTGCACTCCGGCTAGAATTATGATTTATTACAAAAACTAAGAAGCACCGGAGCCGGCACCCGGTGAGCTCCAGCCCAATTTAAGCTCTGATCGTACGGGGTAATTTTTGTGATGAAAAAAGATCTTTTATCATCACAAAATTTAAATATTAAAGTATAGCTGATGAAAATTAGGATAATGCTAAAAACAGGACAAAACAGAATGAGGGCATTAGGGTATGAGTGGGTGGAAACAAAAAATTAGAGGAATCTTGGTGAGAGAGAACATTCACTTTGACCGCGGCTCTCTGCTGATATAATTATAGCCATCAAAAGGATGTGCGTCAGGGGTAAAATGAGTCCTCTGATTCCTAAGGATGAATGTAAAGTTGCTAGTTACACTTCCCCCCCCCCGTATTTGGTTACATTAGTGGATACTGTGGGAAGACGATGTATAGGACGTGCTTGAGCAGTTCATCTCAGTATTTCACTCTTATTGCACTCGCTGTCACTTAACGCACATTTAAGAACACAAATCTTTTTTCCTGTGAGGATGACTAACTGTAACCATTGATAACAATACACTAGATACAATAGCATGGCAAAACATTTACGCGTTCCTAAACAAACTCCCCCAAATTTATTGCCCTTCTTAAAGGGAAAGGTTTCCGCATGTGAATGAGGGCACTTTACTTGAACGTCTCATGTTTACATGAGTTCGTATTGCTACGGAAATAGAGTATTATAAGGTCTGCTTATTGTTAAACTAAAACGTTAGGAATTCAATTTTTTCCCCTTTAAATTGTGGTTCAGTTATAAAACTGATTAAATTGTGGTTCAGTTATAAAAAGAAGTACCGGAGCTCATCTTAGTTAGGGCTCCGGTGTGCTCCGGCTTGTAATTTATTATAAAAATTGAGAAGTACCAGAGCTGCACTCCGCCGCAATTTAAGCACTGTTTGTAGGTGTTCTTAAGGTAATTAAAAGGCAGGTTGTTCACCACTTCAGTTGATTTATTTTATTTAAAAGTGAGAAAAATTATACACCACAACAATGGGCTATATTTTTTGTGGGATAATTTTATATTTATAATAATGAAAGTATGAAAATTTTATTTTCTCCTCATTCTATTTCATTTGAGTGAATATATATATAATTAAGTTTACTGATTAAAGTATTTGAGGACTATCAGCCTTCAGAAGGATGACCTGCTGCTGGTTTTTCAGTGCATCAGTTCTTTTTCTAGAAGATTCTAAAAGCTGATCAATGGTTTTTTTTAAAGAACTTTCTACATAATGTTCAGGATTAAATTCTCTCAAATCTTTCTCACTTATATAAACTGTCATCAAATATGAAATATGCTATAGTGTCAAAGAGGATCTTCTTCTATCTTTCACTTTTTAATGGTAAACTTAATACTGAGACTTCATCCCTTCATCTTGATTTTAAAAAATTTGACACCCAATAATAATTTATTGAAAATAAAAAGAATTTTCCACCTATTTTTTTTTTTAATTTTAGGCTATTTAAATGGAAAAAATCAAATTTAAATTAAACCAAATGGCACCTTTTATTTCAGTAATGGAAAATCTAACCTAAGTATGATTAAAGCATACAAGACATTTGTTTTTCTTGGATTAGTTAGAAATAAATTTAACAAATGATTTGAATGAAAACCCCTATAGCTCATCACTGTATACATATGTGTGTGTGTATGTGTATATATGCATGTGTGTGTGCACAACATGCATGTAATATACATTTACAGAACTAAATTATTTTTTAATATTAACAAATATAATTTACAAAAGCCCCTATTATCTTCAACGTAATTTGATTATTTGCTCTTGGATGTCCTAAAAACAGTAACATAATTGTATTTAATCTTTATGAAAGGCATCATTCCAAAATTAATGGTTTTCATATGATTCTTACATTACACTAGTGCTGCACGTGCGTGCATAACAAAATTTAAAATAAAATCTTAATCATCTGACCGATAATATATTCTTAATTTTTAAAAATTAATCAGATTAATGCTGCTAGAATTCAGTTTATTAGTTTAACATCCTAAATAGCTATAACTTGAACATTATCATTAATCCGAAGCTTCTAACAGCTTCTAGCTTGATCTTCCTTCAAAAACTGTCACAACATTCAGTTGTAATCATCACAGAAAACTACTTGATATATGTACATCCTAGTAAATATGCTTCAGAGGAAAAATAAATAAAAACTCCGCAACTGCCATACCATTAGAAAGGAAGGTTCAATGTAACATTTTTCAACATAATATAGCATTCTGTAAAACAAAAAACACACACAGTTCCTTGATAAAATTAAACAATAAAAACTTTTCTTGATGTTGTTTATCTAAATAAATCACCCATTCCTAGTTAACACCGGTAAGTACACATTGGTCAATTTGACTGATGGGCATTTTTACTTTCTAATATTGGCAACATTGGTTGATTAGAACTGAGGAAGTTTGTGAACTTTACATTACACCAGCATATAATACCTCAATGTTTTGTAACAACAAGTTTTTTACTTTCGTACAAGTTTCAAAATAGTAATACATTTATTATCAGTCATGTTTAATAAACTTTGTTAGTTAATTTAAATGTTCTTTAACTTTTTATTGCCTTATAATATTTTTTTAAATAGTAAAATGGGTAAAAAGAAATTTAAAATGCATAAATGCTCAAAATGACTGCATGTGTACATTTGTGTTATAATGAATGTGTGTTCTTATAGGTGTTACAGAAAAGAAGAACAATGAAACCAATCTTTATATATTAACATGTAACCATTAACATGTCTCAAATTCAACACAAAAGCTAGTTTACATTTTTATTGTATTATAGTTAAAGAGATTAGTTTTTATTTGAGTAAAACAAAAATTCAAACTAATTTCTTTTGAAATAAAATTACACTAAGATACTACTGTCTTACAGTAAATCTACATACAGAACAGAAATTGCTTTTCCATTAGCATTTACAGGTTACATATTGAAAATTGTGAACAAATCTGACACTCATCTAAATTAAATTAACAGTTTCTTAAAAATATTCAATATAGTCTATTTTATTCGATATTATTCAAATCAAAGTTCATAATAATATATAATAAATTAATAAAATCTTAATATTATTTGATCTAGAAGGAAGAATGGGTGATAAAAACAACTATATTTCCAAATCCCTAGGAATCCAGATAATTGGAGACTTTTGCTACTTTACCTGTCGATCTACTTGCTGATGAACAACATTGGGTACATTAAATCTTTGCCTAGCATTATCAGAGAATATTATAGTAAATGCAGCAACATCAGTTTCATCTAACTAAAAAATACATAAAAAGTATATGAGAACTCAGGAATAAAAATTGTGAATCATTTCTATATTTTGTTTCATTTTTTCATCATTTGAATTACATTAAAATATATTAATCAAAGTATCAAAGAAATGATTTCACATACAAGAACTCTTGCGCCATCAAGGTACTTATAGCCTTTCCTTTTTGTCCCAGTGGTAGAATCAGCCCTATAATTTACAAAAATTTATGGATAATAAACAAAGAATTAATAAAACCATTAATTTATATGGAAGCTGTTAAAAGATTGTAAAAATTATTGTTATGAACTTTCCAAATAATTTACTTTATGAATTTTAAATAAATAAAATTTGAGTTTTACTATTCTAGTGAAGATAACCAAAAAAGAATTACTTATGAAATATACCATGCAAAGTCTTATCTTGATGTAATCTTTTCTAAAGAGTCACTATTAACTACTATTTCTAAACCTAACATATCAGCCAGTCCAGAAACACATGCTAGAACCAATCTTTTGACAACTTTAAAAAAGCATTCTTTCCTCTTTCAAAATAACCATTGAAAAACTGAAATGGTGGTCTCAATGCTCTGATTTTAGATGAGGAAATAAAAATAGTCACATAGCATTAAGTTTGGGCTCATATAGTAGGTGTGGTACACGCTTTTTTTAAAGCTAAATATTGGACAATAACATTGGTGACATAACGATATGCATTATCATGATGTAAGCACCAAATAGATGCATGCAAGTGAAATCATTTTCACCAAATGTGTTTGACTAGAGTCTTAAAAACCGTTACATAATACTGCCCAGTAATAGCTGTATACTCAGGTACCATAAAATAAGAAACTATTTCATTATAATCAAAGAAAAAAATATTTATGACTTTATAGCTTTGATTTACTTTGAAATGGGAGAATTTAGTGATTTCCAGGCTGTACCTGCCTGTCTGCTTTTAAGATCATAGTAATGTAGCCAACACCCATCAGCCTTAATGATGGATTTTAGGTAAGCCTTAAAGAACTCAATTTTTAAAATCAGAAGTGCCACAGCCCTGTGGAAGTCCATCAGAAGTGATGAAAAAGTTAAATATATATATATAAGATACAATAAGTAATGAATAGTTAAAATTAGATTTAATGTAGAGAGATATATAAGAATATTTATACATTAAATTAATCACTAACAGGTAAAATTAAATTATCAGAAATATTTTTAAAAATGAAAAGAAAATAAATGAAAGAATAAATTTTAAAAAATAATCAAAATCAAACGAAATAACAGAACAAAATTAAGATAAATAAAATAATGGTAACAAGACATGATACTAGTGATGAAAGAAAGGTTATTCTTCATGGTCAGATAAAACTGTTTCCTCAGTATGAATTCTAATACACTTAATGCTTTAAGTACCTTAACCATTTAAGAGCTCAAGTTAAACTTTCTTGAATAGATGGGAAGAGTCCATAAACATCCTTTTTTCCTGATGAGATCACTATTTAACATGAGGTTTTGCTTCATTAGCTGTTAAAATTTTTTCAAGTATTTTGTTCTTCTTGGGAAACCAAAATATATATTCAGTATCTAGCACCAACATCAGTTTTATAAATTGCTGAACAAAATGTTACAATAATAACATAATTTTCTGCTATTAATATTACAATACAACTCTCGAGTTCCTTGTATTTGAATTTACATGAGTGTATTCCAGTTAGAAGTACAGTTTCATTCAAAAATTTTATATACTTCTTTAGCAAATTTCTGCAAATGAACTAAAAAACTTGAAAGTTGCATACTGTTCATCATGAAGAGATTCCATTTTCCACAGGCAACAGAGAACTCTTATACCTGTGTTTTATTCCAGCTACATACATTGGCAGATTTACTTACATTTTTTTTTTTTTTTTAATTTTTATTCACTGAGATAATATCTATGCTATTTGAAAAGATTTATTTCACTGTTAAGTATTAAATATGTGTTAAAAAATAAATCATTTTAGACCAACCAACATCTAAATAAATATAGTAAAACACAATCTCTTCAAAGATTTGAACCGCAATTTGAACCGTAATTTCCCAATCAGATAGCTTTAGGATAATTATACAAAGAACAGCATATGGGTAATTTTGATCATTTTCTTATATGTACCCTGCATTAGATGTGCTGTAGTGATTACAATACAGTTTAAATTATTTTAAAATTTTTGTTACTTGCAAGCCAATTTTTATTATTTGCAATTATCTACAATTGCACAACTTCGCTTAATGAGAAACAGAGTTAAGTGGAACAGTGAAAAAAATCAATGAGTCCAAAAACTACAAGCTGTTAGTACTTCTGAACACTTTTCTTCATAATTTCTTTTTACACATAAATAAATATCTATATCAAATAAAAGCGATTTAAATATACCATATATAAAAATTATGAACCATGAAATTTCTGTATACAGGAGATCCTTTCTTTACTGTTTATTAATCAGTAGCATGCTATAACTCCTCATAATCGTCAGAAAGAACACCTAAAGGATTAGTTTAACACATTACACTTCTTGCTGTTAAAATTGCTATACCATGTGGTAAAACAGCAAAATAATATTTATTTTACAAATGCATTACAACAGAAGGATTTCAGATAAATTTCAAAGTTTCAGATAATTTTGAGAAGCAGAGTATGCAGAAATCTCTTATCTAAGCATCAACGTCTGCTAATTATAGAAGATGTTATATAGCTGGGCATGGAGCCTGAACACTTTGGATGGCAATGTGATAACAGCTTTAAATTCCATATCAAAGTTCACCTGTCTGCTCATCTGCTTTCATGTTAAGACTTTCTAGTCCATCAACCAGACATTTTTAATTGATGAGATCTAATAAGGGTACTGGCCAAAGCAGGAATCAAATGCCCCATATATTGAGCTAATGTAGGGCAACAATGGCAACAAGAAGTTTCACATATTTTATTAAAATGTGAGGCGACAAACACCTCAAAGATATGGCATAGTCTCAATTATTAAATCCTATGGCAAAGTGTCAAATAGGTGACACTAGAAGTGAACAAGATGTGCACCCATTGGCTAACAAACATCAATCCTTCTGCTAGGTTGTTATGATGATAAAGAATTCAAGTTTCCAATGTTCCTTCACACTGGGCATTCACACATCGATATGGCCATCATCATCATACAAGCAAAAGTTGGATTTTTTTGGGAAAAGATGACATCATGCTGTTGATGCATCCATGTGTGTCTTTTAATGAACCATTGTTGGTGCCAATTCCTATGCTGTAATATCAAATGAAGTTTAAAAAATGATCACCTTGCTAAGAATCTATGGTATTGCACACGTCATCGTACAGTATGTGCAGATATGATTGTAAAATGCACCTTACTTCTAGACCCCTAACATTGCTGTACAGTTCTTAACAGTAATGTAAACAAGATGTTTGTCTTTGAGGCCACTGGTGAACGAGGGCTGTTAACCCTTTGTTGCATACAAATAATCTAGAGAAGTTAAACGAAAATGTTTGTATTTTTTCTACTTAATATATAACCTTAGTAATAATAATAATAAAAAAATTCTAATTTTGTTTTAAATAATTGCTACAGTTTGTTCACTACAGTGGACAGCAAGCATATATATACATGTATACAAATCTCTTCCCAACATTTACGGTCATTGCATTTGAAATCATTTCCTGCCTTGTTTGCAGTGATCATTACCATCTTCTAAGTGGTAAATCTACAAATGACATGTGCATACAGATCCCCCAAAATACCTTCATTTTGTCAATTGTGATTGAATTCATTTTGCTACGATTTTGTAACCTGTACCTATTGGATTCAAATGTCAAATTTAGAAATTCCTTGCCAAACATAAACATTTCCAGTGATGTTTTGTCTTGATAAGCAGTACATTTGGCTTTCAATTCACTCTTTTTGGTAGATCTTTATCTACCCACTCCACAATTTTCTCAAACTGACATTAAAATAAAATGTCTAAATTACTAATTATGAATAAAAAATGGCAGTATAAGAAAATGTAAGCAATATTATATAATGTTTACTATAAGAAATTGTACAGTACAAAGTCCGTAATCCGGACTCGTCGGGACTTTGGCGATTCCGGATTAAGAGTTTTTCCGGATTTATAGATCATCAATTTATATTTGGTAACATGGCATGCAGAAATTATTCAATTAAAAATATGAAACCGTAATTTATGAAATGAGCAATTATGATATAAAGGGTATCAAAATTTACAAAAAAAGGCGTGTGTGTGTGTGATTATGGCAAAGCCTCGAGGGCTATCTGCCTAAGAGGAGGGATACCTTCGTGGAGGACTTTCTAAGGGAAACTGGCTCGTATACACGTTACACATGGGGAAAACCACGAAAACGCCCATGCAGCCAGCCCGTTCGCGGGATTCGAACCTTGGACCGAACTACCAGTGTTCAGCGACTTTACCGCTCGGCCGCTGGTGGGCCTTACAAAAAAAGGCCTTATATTTCTTTGTTTACTTTATTAAACATTTCTTTCAATGTAAGTTGCTTAAGTTGTTTAAGTTGCTTCGTTTTTTGTGTTAAACGCACATGCGTAAACATTAAATGTGCATGCGCAAAAGCATACAAAAAAAGTTTGTGGCTTTGAGGTCCGCATTATAGATCATTCTGGATAATGAACGTCCGGATTACAGACTTTGTACTGTACTAACTTGGAAACAGAAGTAGCAGCCATTTTCCAAATAGCAATGCTTTACTTAGTGATGCTAAACAGCCATCTAGGATCGACAATTGAAAGTTCTAATAATATAGAATGAATAAACACAGGAATGGAATCTGTTAAGGCATTTACAGAAGAATAAACAAATTTAATCTTTTGTCTACAAGAGTGGACATATGCAACAAAGGGTTAAGATCCTGCCCATCTCTCTATATGGCCCTTATGGATTTACTGATTGTAAATTTACTCTTAGATTCTCTCTATATACATTATATCTTGACAATGCAAGCATCAATTATGCAGTGTGGACCAATGCGAGCAGCAATTATGTGATAGGATAATAGCCTATGATTCTCTTGTATTTAAATTCTGAACTGTCTCAGAAAAATTCTTTCTTTTACACAAAACATAATATAACCTCCAACACAAAAACAACAAGTAAAAACATGTCACAAATGAAAAATCAACATTTCAACGTGTTTTTTTATATCTGCTCAAAGGTTTCATTACTTCTGCCTGTAATGTGCACAAGCCACGACATGTTAATTATTTGCATATCTTAACCTTTCAAGCAAATTTTAATCTTCTTATGCACTTCTTTTTCATGGTGTAGCAATTTCAATGATTAGCAATGTACATACACTGTCTTAACACTATCATGTGCATTTTTACCTTTAACTCATGAAAACAGTTTCCTCTCTTTATTTGAAGTGTTATAAGAAATGGCACCCATCACTTTTGGCTCAGATAAATGAGATTTAATTCTATTCATAGAAAGAAAATATAAGAAATAAAACCTTGCTTAAATTAATGTAGGCTGAATCACACTTCCCCCTCCTGGATAAATCATGGTAGATATTTTAAGCAACTGAGAAATAAACGCCTATGACATTGTATTATATATACTTATACATTAATATTATAATATACATTTACCTATCTATATACTTAAATTATAAGAAGCTTTTAAAAAAAGTTCTGTTTTTGACTGTAGCACAGCATCCACTATATAACATGACCTGAACACTTTTATAAAAGAAAAATGGGAACAGATCATTTTTGTTCATATCACAACTTCAAGAATAATGCTATTTTTGAAAACTTTCTGCATGAAATAAAAATTCCAAAATTTCTCTTTTAAATATAAAGAGTATAATAAAAATTCGTAATTACAAGAAAAAATTTCATATTTTTCTTTTTAACTTTATCTTTAATTACTGCAAAAATAACCCACGAAAAAGTAAGAGAAACCTGATAAAAGTGCATTAGTTTAAATGCAATGATTTTATTGTCAAAGCAACTTTTAAGATGGATGAAACTAGAAAATTTAATGCCACATAAAATATTTCCAGAAATCCTCTCCTGGAATACTATCAACATCAGTGATTGTGAAACTACCAAGTGCTCACAGAATATCAAAAATTTACTAGAGGAGCAAGGTAATATCTTTGGTACTCAAACTTTTATTACTTTCGAGTGACATCATAGTGAAAATCAAATACTAATTGACATAATTCATGAATGTATGTTTACATATTTATTTCGTGCTTCACAATTATACATGCAAAATACTTGCTTTTATCTGAAAATATACATTTATGTCTCAGGAATGAAACATTGCAAAAACATGGTTTTAGAAAATGGTAAGAATAATTTTCAGATCCACTGTACCAGTTTTATTTTCTTTATTTAACATTTTAGTAATTGCAAATTCTGGCAAAATAAATTTAATTAAAAAAACTTTATTATAACTAACATAAGACACCTACAATTAGACACAATTATATTCTATTGGCAGATAATATTAGAATAAAATTTTCTAAATATAAATATGCAAATAAGACACCTACAATTAGACACAATTATATTCTATTGGCAGATAATATTAGAATAAAATTTTCTAAATATAAATATGCAAATAAGAAATGAAATTATTTTGTGCATTTACAGTAACTGCTATAAAAATTATCAAAATACTTTCTTAATGCAGCTTTTAAGTACTTTAAACTTTTAACCTTTCATATGCTTTCCACTTCACATTTAGTAAATATAAGGAATACAATTTTGCAACCTATATAAAAATAATAGATTACTCAAAAAATTTAAAGTTTAAAAACTTCTGAATGTAAAATAAGAATAATGAACAGCAAAACACAAGTTTATTATTAAATAGAACATACAATATTGGAAAAGGAAATTTAAAAAATACCGATTTTAAATTAAGATACAATTTATACAATAAAAAGACAATTAAAAATTATCAAACAAAAAAATTTAAAGAACAAAATTTTTAACTTTTATACCCAAAACTCTAAATATTAATTCTCATGATAAATAAGAGTATTTCACAAGAATATTTTACAGAGTAGAGACATTAGGTATTGTTTTGGAAGCAGGAGACTTGAAAAAAGAGCAAGGCCCTCGCCAGGAATTGAACCATGGACCTCTCGAATACACGCAGAGCATGCAGACCACTATACCACGAAGACACACTAAGAAGGCAAGAGAAATGCCTTATGTACTTCCCCTTTTAAAGGGCGACTGGGGATTAGGGAACCCAATCGCCAAATCCTGGTGGTGGAGAATTGTCATCCACTACTTTTTTTAGTTTGGGCACCACTGTAGAGATATTAGATATTTTTCTGAAAGCAGGAGACTTACAAAATGAGCAATGCCTTCGTTGAGAATCGAACCGTGGACCTCTCGAATACACGCCAAGCATGCAGACGACTACACCTTGAAGGCTCGCTAAGAAGCAGGAGAAATACCTTATAAGAGATATATTTCTCATTCAATTAATTCAGTTCTCACTTAGAGGCAAGGTAAAAATACATAAAAACTCAAAATATCTTCATTAAAAAAAGAAAGATATAGAAAAACATTAAAATGTCAAATACAGTTAAAACAATTAAAAGAAAAATTTTTAAAATTAAAATTACACTTTCTAAGCAAAAACAAGCAATTCGGACAGCAGGCAAGAAGCCAGATTTTTCGGTGCCCAAGACTAAAAGTTTCCTTTTGGTCCCACTCGGCAAAAAGACACTAAATGTGCAGAAAGACACTATTCTGCTAAGTTTCAAATGTAAACAAATATGGCTGCTATGGTAAAAAAATTAAGCTTACCCACTCTTAAACAACTTTTAAATTGTTGATAATTCTACAACTATTTATTGCATGCAGATTAACTAAAGGCATAAAACCCTTAACCAGAAGATAATAACATATTTCAATCATTTTAAAAGCTAAAAAAATGCACAATTTACCAGCATATAAGAATAAAAAACACGGAGCTCATTGAACCTATTAATGGAGTGGGTATATATAAATTTATATACTTTTGATGCAGCCGATTGCAACCAAACTAGGAAGTGCACAACTACATGTTATAGTAGTCTTATATACAAAATTTCAACATTCTGAGGCTACTTGTTTTTGAGTTATACGAGATACATACATGCATACGTACATACAGATGCTACGAAAAAATCTGTTTTGAACTCATTTTATATCAGTTTTATAATTCGTTTGAGGAAAAAGTGTGCTTTATTTTGGCCTTATGTACAGATGTCACACAAAAACATTATTAAATTGCGTTCGATAGCAGTCAAAATGGATATTTTCTTTAAAATATGATACCTGTAATTTATCCACGATTATAATACTTCCTTTACTTCATACAAGGAAGTAAAAATTAAAAAAACTTAGTACTTATATTTGGAATGCATTAAATCAAAATTGTAATACAATGTAGCATAATTCAATTAGTTATTTAAAACATCCAAACTATCATCTCTTACCTTGAATTAAAAAAGGACATAACACCTTTTTCTAACACCGTCCATACTTCCTTCCAACGAAGAAAACGACTTTTCTAAAAGGAAAAGATATGCATGTGCATATTTATATGCATATGATATACATATGCATGTGTATGTTTAAATATATGATATACATATGCATGTGTATGTTTAAATACGTATATATTTAATATTAGAATTTAATCACACTGGTGTGCAACAATATAAATTTTAATCAGACAGCCATGAAGCTACAAAAAAGGGTTTCTTGCAAACAGTATAATGAACACACAATTCAGTAGAAAGGTCATGCATATGCTTATGTCAGCATCAAAAGGTGACAAGCAACGTGAGCGTATGTAAAACGTGTGCGGTCAGCATGCTCAACTCAAGACTACAACAAAAGGAAGGATGCAGATGCAATTAAATACATGCGCTGCAAGTGAGTTCTTTCATGAAATATGGCTAGAAGAAATCACCTGGATGACTTCACACATGGAAGAATGACTGGAAAGCTGGGAGGCGGGCATAGTGTGAACAATATAAGTGACATTTCGTATGCTTGGAAAGCCTTCCAAACCATAGTACAGCTGTTAAAAAGGTTGGTGGTGGCCGCGCCAGGAAAACAACTTACTTACAAATAATAACAAAGAATAGAATATATATGTATTTATATACATTAATAATATAATAACTAATTAATTAACAAAAGCAATGTTTCCTCTAACAATTTGATTAGATAAACAAAAACAACTAAGTGATGGGATGCATTACTTAGATCATCCATAATATTTTAATGCTGTTCACAGGAAGCAAAAGCAGTTACAGAGTTTTGCAGCAGTCAGTAAGTAAACAAATGTACAGTTCAGAGGGAATTCAGCACAGGAGTCAGCCAGTATAACAAAAAACAAAATACATTTTCTAAGGGGGTTGCAATTATAGGTTGTAAACTCTAATATATTAAATAGCCTTTAATTTAAGGAACTAATTAGGAAAATGACATCTGAACTATGGGTTTGTAGATAATTGAAACCCGTACACAACTTGACAAAGTTAAAACAAAAATATTACACTTTATTTGCTGGCTGCTGAAAATAGCAATGAGCTGTTTAAAAATTTTTACAGGTAAGTTGCTCACCATGATAATATAACATTATCATTGTATTGAATATTATTAGAATTTCGAAAATAGCTTCTTGGCCTGCTTCAAATGCATACTAATACAATAATCTAAATAAATACTTAATAAGATTATGAGAAAAATATTCATTACTACATATTATCCTAAAGAATTAAATACAAAAGAAACAGAAAAATCTTACTCTTAATAAAAGTCCTTCAAAACGTGAAGCAGTTTTCTGAAAATGCTTGACAGGCTGAACTCCAAGTATTTGCTTCATTGGTATGTTTAAAGCTAAATCTATAGCATACTGACCTGTTATAAAGTAAAATATTTTTGAAAAAGTGACACTATGCAAGAAATAACACTGCATGCAAATTCTCCAAAAAATTTTCAAAAAATTATTACAACCTCTTAAATTCTTGATAGATGTATTAATGCCATTTTGAAGCAAAAGAATAGCTACTTCTTTTTTTCCACGATAAGCTGCACAATGCAAAGCTGTGTTGCCTAACGAATCAACACAATTTATATCTGGAGGATGATCACTTTTCAGCTGAAAGAGAAAGTTTTTAAAGAATAAAGCACACAAGTATTTGACTGACATAAAAACAGAAATTTATTGAATGGCTCTTAATTTTTTTAACTTCCTCCTGGATAAATAAAAATAGAAAACTAATAAAAATTTAGAAGTAGTTTTTGATACAATAATTAATTACTTTCATTCAAGGAATAAAAAACAGTATTTTTATATTTCATTAATTACTGATAATTATCCACTATAAATTTAAGAACAGTTTATGTATTTCTACTATTTTATCCATTTTCTGCTTAGATTTAGAGAATAAATTGAATGTGTTTACACTTCAGATCAAAATTATACCAGGTGAGCAGAAGAAAAAGTAACTAAAAAAGCTTAAGAAGTACAATCTTTTAAAACATGTTAAAATCTTTAGTTAATAATTATACACTCTGATCTAAAATTTTAGTTAAATAAAGCCATCTTTTAGCAAGGTGAAAAAAAATTGCATATTAGAAAGCGAAATCTTATTAACTGAATTAAATATATATATCTGTCTATATATATATATATTTTGCATTACCAAATTATGTGTTTATTAGTTTATTGCTTTAAGTTTCAATTGCAGCAAATTGACTTTTCTCATGTTCAGCCTTTTTCGTTGAAAAAACAGCCAATAGCCGATTGAGTTCTTAACACATATGGCACGTGTTAATCAGAAAAACTTCTTGTTAACACTTTTTAATATGACGTCGGAACCAGATACAAAGAATGTCTATGTATACATACTCATTCTTTGCCACATAGTGATGAGTTTTTTAAAAAGATTGTAACTGAGCATAGGAATAAAATCATCACCTTGTTTACAGTATCCTCAGTTCTCTCAAACCATATAGATTGGTATAAATTTCAAATTCTCATTAAAGGGAAAAAAACGTATATTTAAAAAGCAATGATCTGACCAGTATATCCATATGCTTCACCTTTACATAACACCGTAAGTAATAGGAACTTAAATAAATTACAGATTCTACGAAATCAAATTTTCTGCCTTACATAATTCTCCTTAATTATTACAAATGTTCATTATTTCATGTGTAATATTTCACATCCTGGTAAACAGGTTGGCTGCATGAGAATTTTCATGGATTTCTTCATGTGTCACATGAATATGCACCAGTCGTCCTTAAAAAAACCCTCCCCACATGCATGCCTTCTCTTAGGCAGATTGCCCTTGTTTGCTTAGCTATAATTTAAATAATTTAACAATATAATTTTCTCCTATGAATTGTTCTAGTACTTCTTTTCTGGAGCTTCTCTATACCCAACCAAAGCATTGATTGCAGCTAAATCTAAAATATTATAGCCAGATCAATATATATCTAAAATATTAGGCAATAGATAATTGCAGCCAAATCTAAAATACTATAGACCACATGCAATGGCCATCTACAGTTTAATGCTGTTACTGAATACCTATGACTTCCTGCTATTACTGAATAGTTTCTAGCCATTTTGTTAAGAACCTTAGCAGTACTGTAAAAGTTATAAAATGTTACATTTGGGGATTCTTGGCATTATTTATAATTTCAACAGTCTGATAAAGATCTAAAAAAAAGAAGAAAAAAAGCTAACAAAGCAATAAGCTCATCTGGTGGCAATGAACAGTTGCCATTTTGAAGTTTCTAATGAGCTTCTGTTTCAATACATTATTTTAGTACTCTCGTTGGTCTCTTTGATATTACTCTCAACTGTATTCTTCATTTTATATGTTTATATTTCAGCCAGAGAACAATCATTTTGGAATCACACCTCATAATTTGTATAAAATTAGGACTTAAAATTCATATTAAAAAATCAACTTATACATAGAGATCATTCACAAATTAGCTTGTAAATCTACAACTTATAGCAAATGATGATTCTATATGTGATTTTTTATATGTTAAAATTAAATAAAAAATTCTACAAAAATTTAAGCAATAGATTTCTTTAAAATAATTTTTACTTTAAAGAAACTTTTTATATATCTCTAATTTTATTGCTTGAATATTTGCCCAAAATCTCTTACACCACGGAAAGTAAAAATAATAAATTATTAAAACAAATTTTTTGAATTCAGAGGTGGATGTGAGAATCCCTACTAACAGTACTGATCTTCAGTATTATAAAAAAATATTGCTCATCAGTGTAAGAAAATAAAGCATTTAGAAATTTCATTTATCTATGGCTCTGAACAAAACTTTGTGACAGTTATACTTTCAGAAATATAATAAATGAAACATATTTTAATACCTTAGGCAATAATTTATAACACTCGAAAGTAAAATTTCAGCACTCAAAATATCATCAGTAACTGTACAGATATATTCCCACTGCACTGACCGTGCAGTTCTGCCCCAGTTATGATTGATGGAGGATGGATGTGAGAGCTTCCCACAACTCATTCCTTACCACCAAAACCACTCAAAAGGACTTTAGGCTCAGCATTATTTGTAATGCATACACACACACTATACACCTAAAAGCATTCATACATTTGTGGAACCTAATTGAGTCCAGTGATATAGCAGCCAACATTGCTGACTACTATACTATGAAGTTCACAACAACTAATACAGTAGAAAGTCCAAAATCCGGACTCGTCGGGACTTCTGCAATTCCGGAGTTGAGATTTTTCTGGATAATAGATCATCAATTTAAATCTGGTAAGATGGCATGCAGAAATTATACAATTAAAAATATGAAATCATAATTTATGAAATAACGAACAATTATGATCTAAAGGGTATCAAAATTTACCAAAAAAAAAAATGCTTAATATTTATGTTTACTTTATTAAACATTTCTTTCAATTCTGTTTAAGATGCTTCCACAAAAAAAATTCAAAAAGTTCATTTTTCTTTTTCTTGTGTCATATACAGTCGACTTTCCAATGCAATATCCATTTTTTGCAGCAACGACACTTATTGTTTAATGGACATCAAAACATGGTTTCGCTTTGTAGATCCTTTGGCAACTCCAGAGTTGGAAACTCTTTCCGACAAATCGAAAGTTCAAGCTTAGTTTTTATAAAATTGCTGTAATAATAATAGTCTGCAAAAAATAATAAGCTGAATCAAATTAGAAGATCATGGAGCAGGCCAGTCTGCTACATTAATTGAAATACCTTAGAATCTGTAAAGATAATTTTAGCCTAGCTAAATAGCGTCCGTTATACATTATTGGCTGTGAATCACAAGATTGGCGATGAAAGCCAAGTTGTTCCACTAAATTTTGTATTGCTCCTATTGCATTCTGAATCAAGTCTGAATTGTATTAGTTTAGCTATTTACTATACCTACGTTTATTTCTTGCACATGCTTTAAACTAATCCAAGTCCTAAATAAATGAACTTCCACATATACTTATAATATTAAGGCTTTATCTAGGGCCAGCACTCGATACCGCCTGGTGCAGTCTCTATGGGTCCTAAATTCTGCTACAAAGCGCTTTCCTAAGTTCTAAATTTTTACCGTGTCTAATCTTTGGATCCTAGTACTTTCCCTAAATCATAAAAACTTCACATCCCTTAGTTTTGCTTCTCGGTGCTTCCCAAATTCCAAAAATTTTGTCTTCCCTAAATTCTGCTGTCTGATGCCAACATGTTCTGCCACTGCTTCTGGGTTTGCAGTGAATAACATATCAGTTATTCTTAATTAAAATAGCTCTAAATGTAATCTTTTAGCCTATGAATTTCATTAACAAAATCTATTTTTAGCATATGAAAAGAAATTTTTATTGAATTTTTCCTCCTCAACATTTCTTAGAGCAATTAAAAATCTATAATCATCGCCAAGCGTAATGTTAGCATAAAAGGTTTCCATACACTTCTTATTTAATTACTAATATATAAAAAAAGTTTAGACATCACAGCATGAGTTATTACTGAAGCTGTCATGTATTGATAAATATGCGGTGATGAAAGCAAAATATAATACAGTACAAAGTCCGTAATCCGGACTCATCGGGACTTTGGCAATTCCGGATTAGGGGTTTTTCCAGATTATCATCAATTTAAATCTGGTACGATGGCATGCAGAAATTATACAGTTAAAAATATTAAATCATAATTTATGAAATAAAGAACTATTATGATCTAAAGGGTATCAAAATTTACAAAAAAAGCTTAATATTTATTTGTTTACTTTATTAAACATTTCTTCCAACGTAAGTTGTTTAAGATGCTTCCACAAAAAATTCAAAAAGTTCCTTTTTCTTGTGTCATATATAGTGGACTTTCCAATGCCATACTTCTCGCACAATTTTGAGATGGATAGGCCTTTATCCATTTTTAGCAGCAATTCCACTTTTTGTTTAATGGACATTGAAACATGCTTTCGCTTTGTAGATCCTTTGGCAGCTCCAGAATTAGAAACTCTTTCTGACATGATCGAAAGTTCAAGCTTAATTTTTAGAAAATTGTTCTAACAGTCTGCAAAAAATAATAAGCCGGATCCAATTAGAAGATTAAGGAACAACACAATCTGCAACATTAGCTAAAATTCCTTAAATAATTTTAGCCTAGCTTATACTGTCTGCTATACATTAAACGTGCATGCACATAAAGTTTGTAGCTTTGAGGTCCGGTTTATAGATCATTCCGGATTTCAGACTTTGTATTGTAAATAAATGACTCCCCAGGTCTGCATCAGGGATATAAAATAGGTGAATGTTTCGTTTTGAGATACGAGGGCCATCCAGGAAGTAGATTACGTTTCCGTCTGTGTCCGCTAGGGGCGGGGCTAGCGCGGCCATCTTGGGGTCAGAGCGTTGCGCAGCTCAGTCTGCATCTAGCCGTGCTAGTGAGAGGTTCGTGCTGTGCTCCGTTCAGATACTGTGACGGTTTGAAATGTCTGCGTTAATTGAAAATCCCGCGAGCTGCGAGGTGCGCTCAGTAATAAGGTTTCTGACTGCAAAAAAACTGTAAACCGATAGAAATCTATCGGCAGCTTCGTGAAGTGTATGGGGACAACATTATCACTGAAGGTGGAGTG